TTATTTTGGTAACAATATCTAATATTAAAAACTGTATCTAGGTAGACATTTTTATTATATAGCTATAATAAATTAACTGAATAATCAGATAATTTAAAAAATACCTGAGTAGAGATTTTCTTGATGGAACAATCTCTATCCAACATTATATGTTTTACTAAAATTTTCTATCTTTGAAAATTTTTGATAATTCATGATTGCCTTATGGTCATTTTTTTCTACTCTATTCTTTTTCAACTCCAATTAACAGTAGAAACCATTGATGTTACATGACTGATTCTTCACCTAGTGTGCAACATATAAAAACAATATCAGATCATTCTGTTAGTACATGTCATAATTATAATCCCACACCATTTTTATTATAATAAAATGGTGTAGAATTATAATCATAACATGTACTAGTAGAATGATCTAATATTGTTTTTATATGTTGCACACTGGATGAAGGATCAGTTATTTAACATTAACAGTTTCTACTGTTATTCTAATTCTCTTTTATTGTTATGTCCAACATTACATATTGCTTTAATATCTCCAATCTCTGCAGATTTAATAATTCATGAATGTCTTATATTCATTTTTTTAACTCCAATTCCATTTTAATAAAGATATTCAATATTATATATCATCTCCAATCTCTACAGGTTCTTGATAATCCATTACATTTATCCTTTTCAATTTCAATTCCACTTTGATAAAAATATTCAACATTATATATTCCATCAGCATCCCTACCTCTGCAGATTCTCGATAATCCATGAATGCCTTAAATTTTCTTTTCAACACCAGTTCCTCCTTTATAATGATTCAGATATCTATTTTACCAGTATTCTATATAATAAATTAATGCTTTAAGTTTCTATTTCAATAACTGGTAAGATATCTAATGATGTGATCAATGATAATAATTCAAACTAAAACAAACCTAGAAATATAATTTTATTAGATAAGTTTGCTGGTTCAAGAGTTGTTGTTATCATTGAAATATAAAAAACTTAAGAATTTATTATCTGCATTATAATGATTAAATAAAATTGAATCGAAAATATTTTATTTGTTCTTGATTCAATTCGAATAGATATACACATGATGCCATATAAATTACATGCCATCATGTAATTTACTCATGATAAGTAAATTAAAAAATCATAAAGAACAATTTGGATTATTAAATTAATTGAGCTTAAATTATAATTGATTTTTGTGCAGTTAATACTAGATGAGTTTTCGTTTTCTACTCTGTTTATATTAAAAACTTTACAAATTAAAATCTCTTCATTTATTAAACTAAAGAAATGTTTTAATTATCTAACTTTTATATCATTTATTTATCATTGTATGTATATAATTATTGCTAACAAGTTATAATATATAAATAAAATTTAAGAGGTAAAGGATATAAAAATAGCAAATTTAATAGTTAAAAATTGCCGGAAGTTAATATAGTTTTTCTATAGGTTGAAATGCAGCTAGCTTACAATTAAAATTTTTTTTATGCCAAGTAAACCTTCTTTGAGCTTCTAACAAAAATTATAGAACAAGTGGTTCCAGTTCTAATAGTGATAGAATTATCCAAATTGGTTTGGTAGATCACAAGTTATTGGCATTTTCTCCTTTATAACTACATAATATCAAAAACTTTCAGCATTCCAAAATTATATGAAAGTAATAGTAATTCTCCACTAATTTTTACTATGAAACCTATACTCTTCAACTGTGATTTACCACTTAATATATTTATCTCTTTGTAAAAAAAAAAAAAAAAAAAAATCAATAACTTCGAAGTTTATTCCGACTTTAATTTTATTCTTACCTTTCTTATTGCTATGATATGAATGAATCTTGTTAACTTGTCACATCACAAAAGGGACATCTGAAATTAATGATTAATAGGTACTTGTTTGTAAAAGATTATGCACATGAAAATACTTATTACTGGTCATGTGAGAAAAGAAAGTCAGAGTCAGAGTACTGCAAGACTCAAGCAATTACTATTCTTTTAAATGGGTTACATTATCTAAAAAAAATTGATAAACATGAACATGCTCCTCAAACCAGCAGTGGTGAAATTGCTCAAGTTGTTGCTTGTATCAAACAACAAGCTTGGGATACACAAGATGCTCCCTCTAAAATAATTCAAAATAATATTGCCACTATTCCAAAAAATCTTTCTCCTTATATGCCCACACAAGAGGCTTTCTGAATGAGAATTAAGCATGTTAGGATGGCTGAAATGCCACCACAACCCCAAACTCTTTATGAGGTTGATGTTCCGGACTCATTACATTTAACCTTAAATGGTGACCTATTTTTAATAGAAGATTTAGAACTT